CAGAGGGTTCGTTCGAAACACGAACCTTCGGTTCAGTAAATTGGCGTTCTAACCACTGGACCATCTCGCCCATCACATCACAAGCGGTGTTTTCGAGCGCGTACACCTCAGAATGATCACTATCACGCAGCGCTCAGATCTCTGAGCAAAAGGTTCTTAGCGAGTTAGTTGGTTCTCTGGCCCTGTGCCTATTTTGAGCCAGAGTTTATGAGTTCACATCCCCATTCAGTTGATGAAGTGCTAATATGCTTTTCAACCTAGAAGAGAGCCACTGGGCCGCTAGGTTAGATGAGCCTCTCCCAGCCTCGCTCAAGGATAAAGAGATACCTTTGTCCCACTGTGACCAGTCTGTTCATATGTATTTGGGAAGAATAAGGTGTCCCAGAGAACTGAGGCCAATCAGTGATCGTATTCGTGCTCAAAAGGTTACAAAATGTCTGCCACAACACGGCTGATGACTTTCCGTTCTCGTACCTTCTGCACATAAGACAGCACTAAGTAGGACTTCGATGTCGCAGAGGGTGCGCTGATCATTTCATTGTATTACGTCAAGCGGGTTGAGCAGCGCCACTTATACCGCCGACAAACAAACGCAGTTTCCTCGGCTTTGCCAATGAAGTTCGTGAAAATCCCTCGTGGTCCTTATTCCCACACCTCTGACCGTTTACAAGAGGCTGTCTAGAAACTAGTGGAGGTCGTCAGGATCGCCCCCTCTCTGCTTTTCTGTTAAAATTTTGTTATCGACGTCATCATGGAATGCACACTCCGACGAACCTATGTATCAAAATCACGTGTGAGGAGAGATTAGTGGACTTGGACCAGGCAGAAGACATCGTCTTGTTCCAAGTTTAGTTGTCCGCGCAAAGTAGTTTAAACGAAATATCGGAGGTGGCCGCATGTTTCGCGGAGCGTTTTGCAAGGGCTTACTATTCAAGATTTCCCATACCTTGTGCATCTCTCAAACTTAAGAAAGAAGAGCGTAAACTCGTTGATCGGTCCACGTATCCTGACAGCTATAAAAAAACTTGATGGTAAAATAGCTAAATTCAATGGGCTGATAAGGCGTGAGCAGCGATCGCAAAACCGTATCAGGAATGATTATCGGTGAAGCTAAAGAGTGGTGTATAGAACGAATCATAAGAGCAGTCTTACTCTTCAAGGACCCTGGGCGTCTTCTAATGTTCGATCACCAGTGTCTCTGTAGCATAGCAAGAGTTGCCCAACTGCATCCAGTACGCAACGTGGTGGTTTATAGGTGAGACTTGGTAACGAATTCCAATCGTCAAACAGTGCACCAGGTTCAATTGGTGTGAACAGGTAGTACGTATACTAAACACCGTCTAACGAAGGAAGCGCTGTTTTCTGTTCCTGGTGATAGGCCGTGACGTGGTAACGTGAAATGAAAACGACCACAGTCAAGTTGCGAGCTGTGGGGTCTTCACGCCTTCCTAGCTGGAGGCAACGTGATTCTGTGTGCAGGAGGTTGGAAACCGACGATAAGGTCCAGTCTCTTCGTGTCGGACCAGTCTCTTCGTGTTGGAAACCATGCAGGATGTGGTGCACAACTGATCATAGTGGCACGCATGCTGTCATTATCTGGCCCAACTGCCTACCTAAAGTACGCCTGTTGTTGTGTGACAGGCTAAAGTTGGGTGAAATTCGCGAAGGACACTGAGTCCATCCCGCTGATGGTGCCTTATTCCGACATGATGCTTAAGTGCGTTTATTTGAATTCTGTTCAAGCATCTGATTTTTGCTTGTTTTCCTTTGGAAGCATAAGGTTGCTTCGCAGATTCCCTTCCCTTTTCTGTTCTTTACTGAAGTTTTCATCCTTCATAGCTGGATGGCAGTCAGGCACCAGTATGTAACACCGGTGCATTATTGTCAATGATGATGATGATGGCAATTCTTCACAACACTAGCGTCCTCTGTTCACTAAGGTCGTTTGTTCCACAACGCCTCCCCATACACATACAAGCATGGCGTCTGATAGATCGTCTAGCTGAATTATGTTACGGTCCCGAAGGGATAAAACTTCTTGTATCAAGAAGTAACAGCGACCACTCCATCAAATGTGAGGTTTGTAGTGTCACGTATGACGGTTGTTGTCTCTTCCCAGCGACGATTTGTCCTCTGGAAGGTCACTTCAAGGTATCATATAGTAGATTATGCTATGTCTGTTTGATTCATAGCTCAGAACCCTCTAGGCTGGAGGTTTCCTTCTCGCGATTACTAAAGAAATTCAGTGGACATCTATAGCGCATGCTCCGAATCAACACCTACTCCAGAATGACCGACAATCGAGAATTGAGCCTCGCTACTGGCAGAGGGTCGATCTGGCTCCAAGAATATTCAGAAACGACCAGTTAGCTTAATGCTATCCACAGTGCCCAAACCGCTGAGGAACAACTGATGGTAATGTCTTGGGTCTAGATTGAACTTCCACTAAATCGCGAAATAAGTGTTACAGTCAACCGGTGCGTGGGTGGAAGCTATGAACAAAGAACGGTTGGTACTTCGACCGATGCCAGCCCCGCGGGAGGCGACAGGCGAAGAGCACAGAGCTAAGTGTGCATACGTATCTAATCAAAGAGGGTAGCTTCAGCTCGGGAGCTGAAAGGTTTAATTACATCGGTGCAACCGGTTGCGACAGTGGAAGAACCATCTGAAATTCGCCGTCGATATCATCCGGACAGCTAAAGTGCCGTAAGCTAAACTATTATACTCGGCTGTTGCATCCGGGCTTCAAAAATGCTGTAAAAGGTCTAGCAATAGAGCAAGAGAAGCTTGTCAACCAACTTGCCTAAAGGGTTCAAAGGCTGACAATGAGGTCAGACGCTTTAGTGCTCACATCGATCACTCCAGTTGCAGTGGTGAGACCCATTTTTACTGCCGCCTCTAATGCTCAGCAAGTAACTGATCATAAAGCCAACCCAGAATCAGGTTACTGTGTTGACCACTACGCTCCCAGCCGGTTTCCAGGTTAGGGTGTGAACCACGTTTGAAATCCAAATTTGACCACTCTGTTGATCCCATCTGGGCTTCATAGTATCTCTTCTCGGGCAAGATGGACCAAGTGGTTGGAGTGCGAATTTACTGACCGGCAGGTCCGTGGTTCAAACCCGACCTCGGCCTCTCGACTTCCCCTGTCTAGGCTTGGGCAACCTGACAGTATCCCAGCCCTCGTGTGGCATGGCAGCTGGGCACCGAAAGGGTGTTACAAATGAACGGTTTTTTTCTTCTCGGAGTTATAAGTCAGCTGGACAACGATCCGATTTTTCTCCAAGCCTAGAATACTAGAGAACTGACATGCTAGGTCTTGATAATTCCCTCCCGGTGCTTAGCTAACATGCCACCCAAAGAACGCACCATAGATTGGATACTGCCCGGTTGCCGAAGCCTAGACAGGAGAAGTCGAGATGCAGAGGTCGAGTTTGAACCACAGACCTGGTCGGAAAATGCAGGCTCTATCCACTTAGCCATCTCGCCCCCAATGTTGGGTTTTAGAAAAAGCGCAAAGGCTTCAGAAACAGTGATCGATTTCTCCCTTGCACTTCAGATCTGTCAGGTAGGCACAATCCCAGAGTTTCTGTCAACCTCACGTTTTGCTTCATTGTCCAAGAAGTGTCAAAGTCTAACCGGGAGACAACATACTGCGTTATACCCACCGAAGTTGGGCTACCTGGGTCTACTGAAACAAAGGGAGCCATGCGTGTTTTTGGTCACCCTATTTTGCGGATATCATCGCAATGAATTCACGCAGTACTGATAAATCGGAATATCCGCATACAACCATCGGACAGGAACGCGGCGGCGACTACTTTTTGTGAAACATGCAGTAAACGATTCCGTTTGTCCTCCTTACCGCCTCACAGAATTCATGTACGACCGAAAGAGTTGATATGTTTTACCCTTTCTTGGCTTGATGCCATGCAACAAATTGAGCACAGGAAGCAGTGAGACAAGACAGTTTTTTCAAAACTGTCTTAGACTGTCTTAAAACTGTCTCCTAGACACTCCCCAGTAGCACAGTTTGACAATCTCCGGGAAGTCAAGGTTATTGCTTGGTGTTCTGAAGTTGTGTAGTCTGGATCCTAGGTGCAAAAAACAGCAAAACTATGCTAACGTGTGAACAGAAGCCCTTTCCACCCAAGAATCTCTTATATCCAACGGTTTCCACCAAGTGCAAGAGCTGTTGAATATGCAGGGCTTCTGGTTACGGCTACGTATTACTGTGGATCCGACAAGTGTAGATTTTTCGTAATCACATGATCAACTGCTTCAACACCGCCCAGATTAAACGCCTTGCATTCTCCCCCAACTCTGAGAATATCCCCAAAATATCGTCACCCTGACATCGAAACATGGAGCAATCGACACTACAGATTTCAATAGGCCACACTGGTTGAGTTCCGGGGTGTAGCTATCTGGAACACTCTGTCGCCTAATTCCAGCTGATGTCACTATTTTGCAAGATCACGCTCACAAGTATGAAAGCAGCCATAACGGAATTTAAGTCGCATCTTTCGGGCAGTTTTTTTACGTGCAACTCCACAACACGAAGGGAAAGGCCACAAAATCCAAAAGACGACGGTCACCATGCAAGGTCCAAGAAATGTAATTTAATAATTCACATTATCACTAAACTTTAAGCAGGGTCTTCCGTGGTAGGCGCACTCTTAGCAATCAAACAGCTGATTGACTATATAATAACGAGACTACGTTTATTCATTAAGTCAAGCGTCCAACCTGTGGTACGGCAATACCATTTGACCCTCGTCGAAACGACAAAGTTTCTACAGCAGAAAGATTGCGCACACGATAGTGTCAGCCATCGTCTGATGTGGTAGATTCTAGAAAAATAGATATTTCGAGCAAAGATGGAAGGTTTACGCGTCGGTCCCTGTATGGAAATGTCCCTCATCGGGACTAGATGGAATGTATTAGACGAATGTTCGATCAAATGGCCATTGATTTGTCACTGAGCCTGGCAATTAGCTTGCGAACGTTTCATCTCCAGTTGGGGAGACATCGTTAATGTTTCTATGGTTTTCGAATAATATCTAAATCCCTTCATGTGACTGGCTAATTGGTATTGCAATTGACCCTTTCGCGATTCGCGCTGCGTTGTGGCCCGCATAACTCGTATTCCATTGATTTGTTGAACAGTTCCTTTGTTTTTTAAAATCCACTTTCGATTGGTCCGTTCCCGGTTTGTGTTGCGTTGTAGTCTTTCGCCCTTGAATTCGGTTGGTTGTTATGGTAATTTTGGTTAGATTTGTCACAATTTGTGCCAGGAGAACATTCCGGTCAGTGGAATATTACTGGGAAGAGGGTGCGGGGCCAGACTGGGTGTACGGCTCTGGTTGCTCAAAAGTTTTAGTTATTAATCGATGATTGAAAATTCGGGGGCCAAATATACGGGAGATAAATGTCCAAACGTCTGGATGATATTTCAACTAACGTTTGGTTATAAGATGCAAAGTCCTTTGAAAGTGAGTAAACCAGAGACGGTTCGATCGCAATGTTGTGTTGGGGCGAGATGGCCCAAGTGGTTAGAGCGCGCATCTACTGACCGGAAGGTCCGTGGTTCGGACCCGACCTCAGCCTTTCGACTTCCCCTGTCTAGGATTGGGAAACCTGGCAGAATCCCAGCCCTCGTGCTTCTTTCGGGTAACATGGCAGCTTGACACCGGGTGTTACAGTTGAACCATTATTATTATCAATGTATTGGAACAGCGTTTGGAAGAACGCTAAAATTTGGAGTTAAAATAAGATAATGTCATGCTCAGGGTAGGAGATGAATGGAAAAACGTAGGTAACCAACACGGGATTTCGGGTTCGACTGGAAACTACCCCAACTGGTTATCAACATAGAGACAGTAACGTCAGCGTTGACAGTGGTACCGTACAACCATAACGTTTAATCAACTATTTTCAAAGGGTGGGAAGAAAAATGGGTGAAGGATGAGACCTGGTGCTGACCTATCGCAAGCATTCTGAGGTACCTACACCTCCAAGTATTCAATTAGCTGAGCTGGGAAGAGACTGATAACACGAAGACCAATGATATCCATTTTTTATTGATTTTTTTAAATGACATTGATCAGTCTTAGCTATTTTTTATTGATTTTTCAAAATGATATTGATCAGTCTTAGCTTCTTACAATCGTTCAGCTGTAGCATCCTTTCGGTGCCTAGCTGCTAGGCCACACGAAGGAGGCACGAGGGCTGGGATACTGCCAAGTTGCCCAAGCCTAGACAGGGGAAGTCGAGAGGCAGAGGTCTGGTAAGAACCAAGGACCTTCCCGTCAGTAATTTCGTGCTCTAACGATCGCGCCCGCCTTCTTACAATGGCTGCAGTCAGACCCACACGGGTCGCGTACACCTCATCCTGGAAGGCGGACCACCACAGCTGGTTGATGATTGCAATAGTCTATTCGGGTCATATCAGTCCTTTATTCCCCTCTCCTCGAAATCAGTGCCACCCAAGCTCTTAAAATGAATTTAAAACGCGCCTTCTCAGAAATTTAGTTGCGAGTGACAGTGCAAAGATAAGATGAGTCCACACAACCGGTTACGGATGAAATCGTGAGGTTGATTTGACCAAAAGGACCAACATGTCCTGTTTTCCGCATTGTAACACAAATTGGTGTCAGAGACCACGAAACCGAGGTGGAAAATCTGACGCAGTCGGTCGGCTGACGACAGTGATGGGAAATGAATCGGTCGACGTGAAAAAACGAAACTATCGTTACATGTGACCTTGCAACTTATTGATAACGGGGATCAAACCGATCGCTACAGAAGGAGCACGTTTGACATGTTGCAAACAGATGTACTTGACCAATCCGCCATGAGTCTTCGATATTTCTTTTAGCGAGCAATCACGCAAAATCTTGATAGGTATAAATCAGTAGTCAAACGCTGCAGTCATATGATTCCGACTCGCAGACACGAGCCACCTCCTCATAGCATAATAATCTTTGCAGAAAACGAACAATAGTCCCTGTAACAACTCCCCATCTAACACAATCGCTTGTTATTAGTCACTTCATAGTACAAACATCCGTTTAATCGTTCCTGACCTTGTAACAGAGGTAGGGGGCGATAGGGAAACAAAAAAACACAAACTGTTGAATAAACTGACTACCATCAACATGCGCCTTGCACGTACAAAGTGTAGAGTCACGTTTCAGGACGTGCAGACTCTGAACATGTTCCCTGCGATTCAAGAATGCTACATACTTCAGTAGTTGTATAAATTCTGACGGAAGTGTGTCTGACGAAGTCAGTGCACGAATCTCAAAGACCAGAATGCCACGCTTACTAATTTGTGTCACTTGTGGCGTCAAAACGGCACATTGCTGGGTCTCTAAAGTGGCGTGTATCAGGCTACAATAAGGGCTGTTTTGTTGAACGGTTGAAAGAAATGGCTTCCGACTGCGAAGCAACTGATGTCTCAGATGCGTTTCTGGACACCAAATAAATAACAATGGTTCAGCTGTAACATCCCTCCAGCGTGCAGCTGCCATGCAACTTGAACAATGAGATATTGCCAAGTTGCCCAGACCTAGAGATGGGCAGTCGAGATACCGGGGTTAGATTCGAACCACGAACCTTCCGGTCAGTAAGTTCGCGCATTACACACTTAGCTATCTCGAGCTCGCGAATACTACTTATTTACGGACAATGAGTCATCCAGTCACACCTGACCCACATGGGGTTTCAAACTATCATCGATTCCACGTGGTCTTCTATACATTGCCTGACATCTTGACCGACTGAAGGAAAGCAAGCACAACGCAGACAAGCTACCCAGCGGAAGAGCATAAAACGAAACAGGGAATGAGAAAAAAAGGCGGAGCAAGGATGCAAAAAGCACATGCATTTCGGTATAACAAGAAACCGCCACAATTTCCATGTGTGTGACAGGCACGGATCATGGTGATGGAAACGCATGAACTTCCTGTACAGGGTAGACTGTCGTACACCAAGAATGGGCGTGAAAAAAAGTGGTCCTTGTCACGCCAACGAGTGGGGACCGGAAGTCTATACAATGGGTTCGGTAAAATACCACACAATACCGCAATTCAGAACGCTGCGTCAGTCATCGTGGTGTCTTCTGTGCTCGGATCATCCATCCTAACAGTTCGGGTGTCTGATTTCGATGTCAGAGAATCTTCTTCGAACTGTCTGTCCTTGGAACGGAAAGTGTTTCCGGTGTTATTCACCAGAGAGGAGGATACCGGAAGACCGGAGTGAGTGGTAGTCATTACAACAGTTGTGTGCTCTTCTTCCATTAGTTGCGGCTCCTCGTCTCCTTCGATGGCGAATGTTTCACTGGCGTCCGAAAGCTCCCCGGTATCCATTTGAGCCGCGGAAGTGTGACGCCGTTTGCCTGAAGCGGTGATTCTATTCACAACAGATCCCGGTTGTCGAGCTTTCCCGGTCGAGAACTCCGAACTCTTGCCTGTTGAGATTTTGCGAGGTGGCGACCAATCCCGAGGACTGTGCTGCTCCGTAGATTCCTCATGATCACTGTCCATGTCCTTATCTGTCTGTGAAACAAACTGCCGTCTGCGTGAAATTGCCGACTCCTCGAAACCGATGTCGATCTTCCTGCGGCGATGTCTTATGATGTCTAAATAAATGCAAAAAATAAAGGGTAAGCACAGGAAACTGTCTAAGTGAGTCTGGGGGTGTGGGTTTCAACTGATGACAAAATAAGTGGATGTTTGATGAAGTACTCGTCACTGTCCTAAATAACTCCCCTTCCAATGAAGACTTCGTCCTGCAATTGACCCCATTCTATGCTGAAAGGTCTAAAAGCATTGTGTAGCTGTTTCATCTTTATCGGGAATCATCAGCGGTCTGCACCTCACGAGAGATGGAACGAGTGGTTAGAGGACGAAATTACTGAACGGAAAGTCAGTGGTTCGAATCCGACCCCTGCCTCTCAACTTCCCCTGTCTAGGCTTGGGCGACCTGGCAGTATCCCAGCCCTTGTGCTTCCTTCGGGTGGCATGGCAGCTAAGCAACGAAAGGGTGCTACAGCTGAACGATTACTTTTTTCACGAGGCTCTAGTGGGAAGTTTCAAACCCGTGACCTCCCGGTCGGTAGTTTGAACACTTCAAGCGTTCATCGCCTTTCGTGACCGAACGGTCCCAACTACTAGCCGAGAGGTCAAAGGCTCGAGATTCCCGACTGGAGTGAGACAAGCACTGCCGATGATTCCCAATAAGGGTGAAAAAGCTATACACTGCTTCTCGGTTTTTCAGCATAGAGTAACTTCATTTACATGACCAAATCTAAGGGAACCGGTGTTTCCGTTCCTGAATAGATCCCTCAAGTCTGGTTATTACAAACACCCCCAACTAAGATTGTTGACTGAGTAAGAATACCGGAATCCCGCCAACCACACTGTTTCTCACCACCAGGCCATACATGAGGACACACAGGCAGACAACAATCAAAACGGCAGTGTGTATTAGCATAAGTCACCTCAGTCCCTCCTTCCAACGCCCCTCCTGTAGCAATGACATGGCTATGCGACACATTCGAAAAATTTTTGCCCCTCTACACTGTGACCACCCTTCCGAAGTTCGTCGGTCGCCACATAGAAACAATAAAATAAAAAAACAATCGTTCAGCCTTCGTACAACCCGAGGGCTGAGATCCTGTCAGGTAAAATCTGTGCGATGAATGAAAGTTGGGATCGAGAGGGCAGAAGGTACACGACAAATACGAATCACTCACCGTTTATGACTTCCTCGGTTTCGAGAACACGACGCCTTGATTCTTCATTGTGAACCTTTGGGCGGAAGAATATGTGCGGCGATGTTTCTGTTCTACAGAAGCCAATCATTTTCTCCATTTCCGTTTTCCACATTTCAAACTGCGAATACAGGAAGGGAAGGCAAGCAAACGGGAAAAATTATTTCCAAAGCTATCATAAAGGTGAAAGAACTAGACAGAACTTCACTCCAGTTTCGTAGCTGAAGAACAGACTGCAGTTTAGAGCATCATCGACAGCATGACATCAGTAGTCAACACCGATGCTTCACTGCCGTACAACCATGATTTATGTGAAAGCCTTATTGTAGAGAAAAGAGTAAAGGTGGACAGGGAAGGGACTTAGTGCTAGCTTACCACAATCATTCTGAGGTGCCTACACCTCCAGACATTCACTTAGGCAATCTCGATTGAAACTGACAACAAGAACGCCACTGACATCGGTTGGCAGCCATATCTCGTAATGTCATCAACCAGGCACAGTGAGGATCATGCGGTTCCCATCCTGGAAGGCGAGTAGCACCGACAACACCCAAGCGTTTCGTGATCTCTTTGACACCCTCTACCAATTCAAGGGTTGACCACCTCTCTGTTTACGCCACTTTGAGTTGGGTATGGAAAACAGCACTCTGTTCGGCAAACGACGGTTCGGCATACGCAACACATGTCCAAACCAACGCAGATTCTGGTGTTGGACACATTCTTCTATGGAAGTACTCGTTGCACAACCGAAAACGCGCCTTCTAACCGCCTCATTACGGGTTCGCCGACACCAACCCACATGAGCTATGGTTCTGAGACAACGATTGTCGAACACATGAAGACGTCTCAGTCCCGCTGCTCAAATAGGCCAAGTCTCACAGCCATATAACAAAACAGCCCGCACGGAGCATGAGTATTGTCCTACAGATGGAACCAAAGTTCACTGAATAATCAAGAAGCAGAGTTGCGCGCAAATTGTGGACCAAAGAAACGATTCGGATCGGTAAACTTTTGTAGTGAAGGAAAGCAGCATATCCTTGGACTAGTGGTGTCTAATTGACAGCATGAATGCGGCACTACTAATACTACTTAGAAAGTTACCTGGTTTTCATTGGCTACTCGTGTGGCAGACGCTAAAAGGAAGACACAACTGACTTGTGGCATATCTCAGTTTCTGAGAATAGTACTGATATTCGACACTCATTTGCAAATCAATTTGGTTTTCACGGGAGACTCGAGTGGATCTCCCGTTTATAACGTTCTCCAGCTGAATGTGCTGCACGAAAGCCGCCTCAGCTTCATTTAAAATATATCGCAGCATATTTTCATAAAGGACACTACTCACAAGGTTGTGAGTAGTTTCCCTCATGAAAATACTAGTGACATTCCTTAGGCTTCGAAGAGTTTCTGTGTGAAACTGGCTTCTTTGAACCGGAGTCGGCTCTGATCCGAGGGATCAATCCTCCTTTTTTAGGCGTCGGACTCAACTTTTTTCCACAACGCAGGCGATCTGACCGACATGGCCAAATATAGATTACGCATTCAAGAGGGATGCAAATCACTCAGTGACCATCGACAACACAAATGTTGATGAACAGCTTCCAGCAAAGGAAACTACTCACAAGGTTGCTGAAAACTCTTCGACAGCCCACGACCGGTTTCGCCCTTCTTGGGGCTCATCAGGTAGGCGCAGTCCCCGAGTTTCCGTCGACCTTATGTTCTACTTATAAATGAAGTACGTTTGCTATGAACACTTAGCAATGCTCTCATTTTCACAGTGAGCATGAAGCATTAGAACGACATAGTTATTTGTTTTCTGCTGATTCGTGGTCAGTCGCTTGCCAATTCTGAAGGCGAAAACAGCTTACCGAGACGGGAAAACTTGCGCATATCTGAATGACGCAAAAAAGCGAAGGGATTGACCCTGGCGACTCTGTTCCGAATGCGTCCGTTCTGTTGTGTGTGAAACTCACTGTCTACCCGTAAAACCAGAGCACACACGGATGTTGACCACTACTTTTAGTGTTCGTCGCCGGATGGAGCTCGCTGCAGCACCAAAGGTTGAGACCACGGCCACCTAGTCAGTTAAACGAGGTGGCGGCCATAGGTCTGCCCAACGGACGCCGATGATGTTGGAGGGAACAGAGACTCTTGATTCAACACTTTTACGGAAAATCCATCAGTGAAAAAATCAATTCAAAGTAAATCTCCCCCTTGTGTAAGGGGTGCCACAGGTTCACTCAGCAATGTGGATGAACCTTAAGGAGTGACTTAAGTAAACGGAAAAACTGCAAAGCAGAACCAGTGGCTCACCCCTTTGAGTAACCGCATTTTCTGCTGCAGCAAAGCAACTTCCATCTGCTGTTCACGACGTGCCCGGAACAGTTGAGCTCGTTCTCGTCGAAGTTTTTGTCTTTCCTCCTCTGCCCGAGCTTCCAATTTCTTATCCACCTGAAGCCGTTTGGCCATTTGCGGCTTGAAAATCGCTGCGGCGGACTCGGCGCGGAACTGATTTAACGTGCCCTGCAGAATACCCAGCATGCGCCTCCCCCTGTGAGCATGAGCAATTTAAAATATGCCAAGTTATCACAAGGTGTTGTGGGTAAAAGAAAAACATTAGATGAAACTGACAAGTTCTCACCAATGACTGTCTAAATACCCAAAGGTATTTAGTCATCCCACCTCCTAGAAGAGTTGACTTCATCCCCAGAATTAATTACTATGGGCAGCTAATGAATGATCTTGTCATGAAAGCTAAGCCCAAACCAGGGCTGTTCACAAAGCCTTTCAAAATTTTGTGTCTGGAGATACAAGTGCCCTAGGTCTATGGGGAAACTGCAGCAATGTCGTGTCTGATAGATGTCATGAGGTGATGGTGATGATGAGAAACAGGACTAGCTAGCTGTCTAGGCTTGGGCAATCTGGCCACCCTCATCCTTCAGGTTGCATTACAAATAGGTACCCAAAGGATGTTACAGCCGAACAACTGTGGATGTTCCACATTGTTGGTCCCGGAAGTGCCACCGCCCAATTAGTAGCGAGTTCGCCAGTCGAGGCCCCTGAGGAAGAACACTAGGCCTTTATTCATCATACATGAATCATGGATCAAGGATTGGTTGTAGGTCATGGTTGTACGAGGGCTGGGATACTGCCAGGGCGCCCACACCTAGACAGGAGGGCGATTAGGGTCCTCAACCAAAGCCTTTGGCTCAAAAGCCTAACCGCAAGGCAGCGGTGTTTGGCGGGGAAATGCAAATGCATTACCTTTTCTACGGAACAAGTCGCCATACACGTTCCAACCCCCAACCTGGAGGGCCAGGAGACTGTGTTCCAGGTAGGGGCCACGAGATCCTCACTGCGACTGGCGGGAGACATTGCAAGGTATGGTTGCTGATCAATGCTAAATGTGTTCTTGTCAGTTTCTACTTAGATTGTCTGATTGAGCGTATGGAGGTGTAGGCACCTCGGAATGACTGCGGTAAGCTACAAATAAGTCCTTTTTCCGTCTACCTTTATTCCTTCCCTCATACTAAGGCTTCTGGATAAATCACGCTGCACGACAGCGGAGCATTAGTGTTGAACACCGACGTCATGCTGTCCATGATGATCACACAACTGGAGAAGTCGCTCACAGCCGTCTGTACCGTCTGTCTCCTGCAAGGATCACAATGTCAGTGCGTCTTGCTTGACGAATGAGCCCGGATAACTCTCGATAGAGTGCCCGTCCTGGCGTCACAACTTCAGCTCGTTGGGGTACACGCCGACACTACAAACGTGCACCGTATTGTTAGGACGGTCAGTTCCTAATGAACCATTCGATCTTCATTAATATTTAGTTAACATTTCATTTCACCTCTGTTGTAGCCAACTTAGCCACAGCTCTATTATTTGAACTGGTTCATCCTCAATAGAGCCTGTCTACATCCGGTCTTCCTTGTCTTATTTCTTGTGATTCACCCACTCAAATACTTAGACTACAACCACCTAGTTACCACACAGTCACAAGACATTTTTACGTGGTGTTGATTTCGATTGAGCTATATAACTGGAAGGTGCAAAGACCAATGTGGACGTGTGAGAGTATACGGAGAGCTCTCCAAAAGCTTCCGTACACATAGCGGTATCCGTCAGGGGTGCTCACTCCATCCATTTCCTTTTGACTTTGTGATCGATAAGATAATGGGACGAGCTCTGGAAGGTTTCCAAAACCCTAGTGTTCGAAAAGCTTGTAACGGAAACCTTTTCGATCTGGAACATGAAGACGACATGGTTCTTATCTTCAAAGAGAAGGAGAAGGCGCAGTTTTTTGGATGAACTGACCAAAGTCTCCGCCCTTTGGTATACACTTTGTACCCACAAAGTGTAAGGTCATGCTGGTGGACATGCAGTCACTCAACACGCCACTTACAATCCTGGAAGAGACACTGGAAGTTGTGGAGCGTTTTACGCATCTTGGAAGTTGTATTAGTTCTTATTGTAGTGTAACAGGTCAATGCCTCTGCTAATTCGAAACACCTATAGCGTCAAAGTGGTGTGTATCGAGATAGAGTGCGGGATGTTTTGTTGTATGGTTATGAGACTTGGCCTGTTCGCGCAGCGAAGCTATGACGTCTTCAGATATTCGACTATCTTTGTCTCAGAACCATAGCTCGTGTGGGTTGGTGTCGGCAAATCCGTAACAATGCCATTGGAAAGCAAAATTTTTGTTGTGCAACGAGTACTTCCGTTGGAGAGTATGTCCGGAACCAGAAGCTGAGTTGTTTAGGCCATATATTTCGTATACCGAACCATCGTTTGCCGAAGAATGTGCTGTTTTCCGTACGCAATTCAGCGTAGCAGCGAGGTGGCCAACCCTTGACCTGGCAGAGGGCTGTGAAAAAGGTTACGAAACGTTTTGGTGCTGTCGATGATACTCGTCTTCCAGGATGTGGACCGCGTAAGCCCCGCTGCGCCTGGTTGGAAACACTGCAAGGTATGGCCACCAACCGATGTGAATGGCGTTCTTGTGTGTTTCTCTCCAGATTGCCTGAGTGAGTGTCTGGAGGTGTAGGCACCTCGGAATGTTTGTAGTGAGCTAGCACTTTTTATTCTTTATTCTTTTTATTTTTTTCCACGATAAGGCTTTCAAATAAGTCATGGTTGTACGGCAGTGAAGCATTGGTGTTGAACACTGATGTCATGCTGTCGATAGCGATGATGATGATGATGATGATGATGATGATGATGATGATGATGATGATGATGATCAAGGATTTCCTCTCTGTTCTGTCTCTCAAGCGCAGATTTTCAGTCTCGGTCGTAACGTCCGCTGGGCTAACCAGTAGCTAAATTCCTCCACGGCTTCTGAAACCCAAATCGCCTAGTCCAACACCTTCATCCAACTCCAAGGCTCCGAGCTATTTAGTGCACCATCACCCCTAGTATGAGGACGGAGTTTGCCCATGCTTGTTTTCCGGCCGACACACGTCCCTCTACTCTTGACGCGTACATACACGACTTTTAACGTTTTTTGCTCACGGTTGTTTTGGCCCGTTTTTAGCGAAATACACCCAACTGCATACCGATTTGGCTTCCACGGGAGACCAAACTGAATCTCCGTTCATGACGTTCTTCTTAGACTGAATGTGCTGCACCAGGCCGCCTCATCGTTCAGTTGATATGGTACACCAGTATCGCAATGCATTGTATAGACGTAACACACTACTCGTGGGGTTGCTAAAAACGCTTTGACAACCCAAGACCGGTTTCGCCCTTCTTAGGGCCCATCAGTTAGGCACAGTCCCCGAATTTCCATCAACCTTATGATCCACCAAATTAGCGAAATACACCCATTGGCATACCAATACGGCTTTCACGGATGGCCCTAAATGGAAGTCTGGTTTATGCTATTCTCCCTCAACTTCTAAAATCGACCTTATCAACTAACAAACGGCAGTGGTACTTGACTCTGATCTATTTATCGATCACTGACTGTGAATGTATTTTTCGATCTGAACCCACAGTGGTTTCGGTGGAACAGTGGCCCCATACCTGTCATACAGATCGTGTTTCTGAACTGTTTCCAAGCAGCAGTTCCTTCTTTCCCACCAAGAGTCCCAGATGACACTACCCAGGCTCCCAACCTACTTGTGTTTCCAGAACGCTCGCTATTCCGCCCCATTTGGCTCATCTGATCACAATCTTATTGAATCCACCCATAAGCCCCACGCTCAGCGATACACTTTTCCCAAATATCGATTCTTCAGCTCTTATCCCTAAAAATTTTATTCGTCGAACAATAGCTGAGTGATGAGTGTTCATTTTGACGGTCAGGAACATGGTCACTCCTCAAAATGTATAACCACAAGCGTCTCCCTGCAGTTGAAAACCGAAACAACAGCGGTGAGTGTTCATTTTGACGGTCAGGAACATGGTCACTCCTCAAAATGTATAACCACAAGCGTCTCCCTGCAGTTGAAAACCGAAACCGGAAACAGCGGTGAACGCACGCTTCTTCTGCCTATGATGCCGCCAAGAACACGTTCATTGATCAGAAGGCACATCAACTATCGAACGCACCAACCGAAGACTGATCAAGCTGGAATCTGGCTGAGGCAGTTTGATATAAACTGTGTTTCTCCTCTTTCCTTCACATATTCGGCCCTAATTCCGGAAGTCTAAAGTTCACACCTTCCTCATCACGGACCTTCAAGTCAGTAAATTCGTGCTCTCACTACTGAGCTACCGCGAGCCGGTAGCGATACAGCTTTTGTCATTTCGTACCTATTGACAGTGTGCTTAAAGTGTCCTGCTGATGAGATGACTGCCAATGGACTGAGTGACTTACAAAGACGAGACAGAAAGACATCAAGGATGACTAGACATCTGCCAAATGGGACCTTGCATACAGTCCCCGTTAGGGTAGCAGGTAGATATCAGCGCCTCAAATATGAGCAACCATAACCCGGGAAGGCACCGCTGCGGGTTAGGAATTTGTAAGTCATCTCAACCGGTTCGGCGACGATTGCCAAGTTTAGCGAATTGATCGACAGGTCCGTGGGGTCAATGTTCCACAATGCTTCAAGAATATGTATGGTCAAATCACTTCCCATCAAACAGGTGTTAAATCCGATGCCAACACATGCGTCTCAGCTTGACCATGCTAGTAAGCTGACACCTGGTTATCGAAGCTAGTCAACTCATCTGATCACTGGCAATCCGAAGGCAAAAAAGTACGAGGCAATGAAGTACAATAAATCTGCTTTTCAGCAGCGGGGGAAAACATCAGGTTTCTGCATCGATTTATAATGGTATAGTCACTGTTGCATGCAAGCGTCGACTTTTGGTCACTAGTGAAGTCTACACCAAGTTGGAAAGAGTTATTTAAAGGAAACGACAGACCCAAAAGTAGCTGGTGCTACTCTATCGTAACATCGTAGATCCTAGTGCATCGATAAAAGTTGCTTCCGTGCAAACATCACTGCATACTGAAGAGTGCGGCCTATCAAAATACTGACTTGGAGATTCAGATACGGTGGTACTGCGCTCAGCTCCCATTCCTAAAGTCCATCCCAAAAGAGTTGGCAAGCTGGACTGTGCAGGGATAAGTTACCACAACAACGGACCAAGGGGATATCGGAATAGCAACAAATTTGACAGTAAAATGCGCTCAGTTCGACTGCTTCTCGATCATCAGAATGCCGAACGCATGTTGTGGTAGCTGTTATGCGGAACAAGACATCCATCAACAACCTCAAAAAGCTTTCGAGGATGGTGTACTGCTTATACCGTTGTGTTGACCAAATATCCAAACACTTGGGTTCATATAGTTGATCAGAAGAAACGAAATTTCGCAGACCCTCTAGGCATAGACAATGGAGGTAAGGTCGCCTTATCGGTGCTTAGCTGCCATGCCACCCGAAAGAAGCACGGGGGCTGGGATACTGCCAGGTTGCCCAAGCCTAGACAGGGGGAGTCGAGAGCTAGAGGTGGGAAATTGGTCAGTAAATTGGCGCTCTATCCACTGAGCCATCTCGCCCCAATGGAGATAAACTATCACAACTGTCCGGATATGGATCTGTTAGTAGCGGCAAGGGTTGAGTAACTAAAGCTACGAGCTCAATTACGTTCACTTCAGTTTATCAGCTCACAAACCATGCAACGAAGTGCAGTAGATGTTTCATCCACTTGGGATAAGGAGAATACGGGAAGGGAAGTCACAAGTTGGGGGCGACGGCCCAATCTGTTTGTCCAGTATGGCAGGAAGTGAGAGCCAGGCGATGAAGTCGATGGCTGTGATGCAAGAGCACCATTGGTTGCGTGACACAACCATATCTGCCATGGTAACTAGCCATCGATTTGTCTAGTCCCCATCCGGGGACTGAGTTGACTGGTAAGGATGTTCGTGCTTCTTACCAAGTCATGCAATATGATTCACCTCGGTCAATCAGTGCATAAAATATGCGAATTCGGTGGGTTACAAAACGGGGTATGTTGGGAAATTCCAAAGTCATCACAAAACACTGGATACATCAAGCAAGATTACTCACCGATCTCTATCAGATTTCCTCATTTCTTTTGTAGCATCTGATCGGGATCGGGTTTCAGCGACCCGCACAACAGATGACGCTAAAGAAACCTGAGAAATCGAACACGGAAAATTTGAAAGTAGACAACAATGCGTTTTATGCGAAAGCAAAGCGTACATAGAGGAACAAACGAAAGAAAGACACTTTTTCATGAGAACTATGGATCAAAACGATCTTCTTCTCGAGGTTCCAACAGATTTCTCTATAAAGCAGTGAGATTTCGAGCTCGCAGAGAAATAGCAAAGCGACTACCAGTGGTCTAGGTACCGCTGGTGTAGCCACCGTTCTGGGAGGGGGAGGACCGCGCAAATTGAGGATTCGGTAAAATAAAGCCGTTGACTGATGACGCCTGGTTCTGTCCAAAACGTGTGGGCGAATGCTTGAAAACGAAAGTACATAAAAGTGCTTGTGGTGAGCTGGATCCCCACTCGCGTCTTTCACCGAAAGGCTTTCCTCAGGCAAGTTACGGTTGAACAACAGTGAAGCTCGATACTCAACACTAGTTTTCTGTGAAATATGAGGAACAGCACGCAAACCCTGCATACTATTTTGAAGAAATTATGTACTTTGTTTTTGATAACATGCAATCACCAAGGACGAAGCATCAATGTTTATATATGCTTTCTAGAACGATACAAATCAACTGAGTTGTACACCCCCCCCCCCAA